AGGATCCTACATCATGCAAAAAAGAGCTTACAGTCCAGTGTCTTGTTTGAAAACATCTTTTGGCTAGAAGAAGGGAGGTGATGCAGTGTTCCTTGGAGTGTGCTGCACTGTCAGAAGGTCTTAGGTCCAGTTTGAATCTTTCAGGTTTCTGCTCCTGTTGCATTAAACATCCCATAGCTCAAAAACTGGACTGGAGATCTGAGACATTGTGATTTGAGTACCAGTGTGAAGGACATCAGAAACTTCAGGTCACATCCTCAACTAGTCACCCGGCTGTGAAATGGTACCCAGGAACAGGCAGAAGTGTAGAGGTCCTTGAGCACAGAAACTGTTCTCGGGTTGATACGTTTAACGGGTGTAGGGTCTTATTTCTGGTTTTATATGTAGGGTGAAATACAGTGAGGTGTAGCAATGCTGCTGTAGTCAATTCATGGTAGTAGAGGGTTTTTTTTGTCTGCAACTACCCAAGTCAGGAGCCTTCCTGAACAGGTTGCCCAGGGTCACTGTGCCTGCCCCAACCCTGGCAGTGTTCACAGCCAGGTTGGCTAAAGCCTTGAGCAACCTGCTCTGGTGGGAGGTGTCCCTGCCCAGGGCAGGGGTTGGGGCTGGATGGTCTCTAAGCTCCATTCCAACCCCTTAACACACTATGAAGCTATGAAGTCAGTGCCAATACAGCCTTTAAGTGGTGGTTTAAGGTTTGTGAGACTTGTACTTTAGCCTTCATAAGATGGAATTAGGATTGTATGATATAAATGGTGTGTATAAATACTGTTTTGCAGTCTGACACAGCCATTACCTTTTCTCATCTGCAGGTGTGTGGATTCAGCACAGCCCTGGCTGTGCTCATCCACTTGCAAGGTGTCCTGATTGTGGTGGGGACCATGGACTTCTCTGGATTGACCTTTCCTGATGGGGGAGTGCATATTGTAGGGGGTGAACTGGGTGAGGCTTTCATCATTTTACCACTGCTGGAGATGAGAGGCTGGTGTCATGTGTGCAGGTGATAGAAGTAAGAGGCCAAAACTTAAGTATTGCAGAGCAAAAAGAAAACCCCTCATGTGCAAAGTGTGTGTGGATTTAGTCCTTGGCAGTTTCATGCTGGACACGTAGGTATGCCATCAGGTTTTGGAACAGTAGTGCTGAGGAGGATGGCAGAATCAGTTTAGGCTTTGTGGAATTGTCTGTGAACATGTTTTATGCTAGAAGGAAGCAAACCAAGCTTGTGTTGTGAGCAGCAGCGCTGCCTGCGATGCCCCAGGTCAGTTACACCTGTGCTGCATCCCCAGGTTGCACAGGGCAGTCTCTGGCTGGTTGCTTTTACTCCCCATTTTTGCCAGTGCTTTTTATTACTTCTACCTTGCTGAATCCCCACTTGAGGTAGAGTGCCTCATAGGAGCTGGGCAGCAGCTTCCCACATGAAATTTAAATTTTCAGTGCAGAGTGGTATTACATTCACGCAGACTGTTGAAGTTCACTGTGCTTCTTTATCAAAACAGAGAACTATGTTTTTTCATGCAGTTCCTCTTATTTTCCCTATTGTATCCCTGTGCCAGAGGGAGGGAAATCCCTGTGTTTGGCAGAGATGCACGAAAGAATGAAGTAGGTAAGAGGCTGAATTGTGGGGGCGAATTGCATTTTTCTGACTTGCACAAAAAGCACTCCCTTGAGACAGGATGAAATTTGGAAGTGGAACTGAGTTCAAGCAGGGGTTTGGGTGTGATACTATGTAAGGAATGGTCCAATCACTCAGCAGTTGATTGGAAAACAGTCTGTGCCAAGGGAGGTGTGGTTTGGGAAAGGCTGAAGTGGTTCTGCAGTTTCAAGAGACAAAACAGGAGAGGCTGTCACTGGTGTAAGTTTGCAATAACTGCTTGGGTTTGCTCTGTCCCATAACGTGAAAGATTTCCTCGGTCTCCAGAGGAACCTTCGTGTGTTGGGACTCGGCGATGTGCCAGGTGTGGGGCTCAGTACTGCCAGAGCTGAGCACTGGAGAGAGCAACCACAGCTACAGGTGAAGGCATAGAGGACCTGCACTGTCAGCAGAGCAGAAGGCTGCTTTAACAGTCAGAAACTGTGATCCCTGCAGGTGTCGTTATCAATGTGTTCTCCTCTGCATTGCCCTGAGATCCATGTGCCTTTCTGATTGGTACCTCTAAGTGTCTAAGTAGCTGAATAGTCTTTAAAAGCTAAATTAGCTCATGGTGACAGTTAGGAAGGAGAAGACTCTCCCTTTTAAACAGCACCTGTGCTTTCAGTGATGTAGATTTGAAAACAGTTTCAGTTGGAAGTAGTGACTTTTCTAAATCCTGAAGTATTTGTTGCTGTCAGATCTAATCTTCGTAGTGGAATAAGAAGTTTTGGAGAAAAGTCACACAGCTCTCGGGTAGCCTGGTAACTACACCTTGTTTGATCGTGGTCTTGAGCGCTTGAGAAAAATGTCTTCTCAGAGTTCCCAGAGTGCAAAGCCTGCTTAGGTACCAGGTTCATACAAATTGGTTTCGTGCTGAAGAAGATTTTTGAGAGATGTTCTAGTGAAGCGTTGTTACTTCCTAGTCACAGCTATGTCTGTGTCTGATTTGTCTGGGGTTGTATGTGAACGACTTCAATTGTAGTTCCAGGGTTGTAAGTAGTCAGGTTGTAACTTCAATTGTAGTTCCAGGGTTGTAAGTAGTCCTTGCAGTTGAGGATGGAGGCTGAAACATAAAATCTGGAAGTAGAGGCAAACCCCTGTGCTCAGTGCTTGCTGTCTGATGAGTGAAGCTCTCCTCATGGTCTGGGTCGTGCTGGTGAAATGTGTGTCAGCCTCTTGGCCTGGTTTGTGCAGAGCCATGGGATGGCTCCTGGTCAGTGTCGTATCTCATGGTTTCAGTCTTGTTCTAGGGCTGTGTGTTTCAGGGTAAAATGTTTGAGAGCCTCTGAGTAATTTATCTCATGTATGTCTGTGCTAGAGGAGAAGCCAGCCTGCCTTCCCGGGGTGCTGAGCACTGCTAGGTCACAGTGCAGGCCAGTGGTAGGATGTGACAGAGCCCAGGGCAGCTCATGTTTCGGAACTTGGGAGAGAAGTGAAGGCTTTGGAGAAGGGGGAAGTGATGGGAGACTTTGCCTATAAACTTCTTCCTGTCTTTGAACTCTCTGAGCTGCCTTGTGACAAGCTTGGCCAGGTTAGTGAAGTGCAGTACATGTGTGCTCTGACTAATGCTGCTGTTAGCTGACTCTGTGTGCAGATGTTTCACAAGATCTGCAGCCTCTGTCAATAGGGTGAAATGGCTTTTGCTCTTTTTTTCAGATTTCCTTTTAGTTGTGAAAATCATAGTTGTTTAAGTACTTGAGTGTAACTGTAGTCAGACCTTCCACACCCAAACTGATGTGTGTTTGTAGAAGCCCTGTTGTGTGAGATCCTGTTACCAAGGTCAGGAGATGTAGGTTCCTCTTCAGCCCCAGGTGGGTGAGCTGAGGTGACTTCCTCGTGTTCAGATCACTGCTCTTACTGGGGGAAGATGCGCTGCCAGTGCTGGGAGGATGCTGACTTTCCATGTCCCTCCTTAGGAGAAGAATCACCTTGCAGATGTCATTTATTCTACAAGTGTGAATCAAAAAGTGTCTGCTCCACATTTGGAGGCACAAAATTCCATTGCTAGTGTGAGAAAGAGGTATTTTAATGGTGTAAATCTGCAGAGAAAATAGTGGATGTTTGGGGGTGGGTGGATAAACATCTTAAAAATAGAATGTAGCTTTGCACTTACTGCTTGGGTCTACCTTTTTTTTTTCTCTTTAATTCCTCCAGTCTGATGGAAAATAAACTGTAAGATCCCAACCATTTTTTCTTCATTTCCTTTCCCAATTAAAACTTAGGGACGCCTGCCTTTAGAAGACCAGGCTGAATGAGGTCCATGCTGAGTGAACTCAGTTTGTGATCAGATAAGTGGATAAGTTATCAGATAAGTGGATCAGATCAGTTACTTTTCTAGACTATCAGATAGTCTAGACTTTTCCTAAAGATCTTTTTCTGAGCCTCACTCAGTCATAGAGTAGTTCTTCACAAGGTTAATCCTCTCATAGATGCAGCTCAGCTGATACCACTTTGCTGTTTATGCTCTGTGTGAACCAAAACGCCGCTGCATATGTCTGTGCTTGTCTCCTTGTTCTTGTAGTGTAAGACTAGAAGGGTTTTTAATTTAATTTGTGTCCTTTTTGTCCACCTTTAACTGAATCTTCAAGATACAGCCTTGCTGTAAGGGGTAGGGTATTGAAGAAAAGTGGGTTTGGATCTTGTGAGCTTGAAGATTACAGTAATGGATAATTATTTGTAGCTTATAATTGTGGGAAAGGACTGACAAAAAACTGGTGAAAATAGCTTCTGATCAGGCTTTCCACTAAATGTACCTTGAGAGAAACTACTTTGACATCTTAAAATTTCTTGATCTTTTCTGTTACCTGTTGGAAACAAATCTTAATGAAGGCTATTTTCTGGTCACAGTGGGGGACAAGTGGGACAGAAGCAGTACAGACAGTCTTCTAACATTGATTCAAGAAACTCCACATTTCCAATGCCTTTGAACTCTATTGCACTTGTAATGATGAGGTGACATAGTGTTCTGCAGTGTTTCTCTAACGTGGTAGCTGTTGAAAGATTGTCATTGTGTTTGTTTTTGCCACTTCCTGTTTACTGGATTCCTTTTTTTCATCAGAACCGGGAGGGGGGAGAGAGTATTACGAAACTTCCATCTCAGTTGTGGATAAACATTGGGTTGCATGGTTCTTAATTGGCCTGGAACTTGGACCAGTGAACAGAGGTTCAGCTTCAGTCTTCATAGCTGTCGTCGGGAACACGTTTCTGGAATGCTTCTGCCACTCCCTCCTTTAAGAGATCATTGCCCCCATTGCTTTCTGCAAACCAGAAACACACAGGGCCCTTAACATCCAGCTTCTGGGGATTATAGTGCATAAGCTTATTTTGTTTATGTCATGATTAGTGATTGCTATTTAATTGCATTTTTCAGGGGAATAGAATCAGCAGTGTTGCTATTACAAAATGACAAAACATCCTCCGAATAGAAGAGGGATCAACTTTGAGGTGGGAGCCCAGTTGGAAGCCCGTGACAGATTAAAAAACTGGTATTTTTTTAAAACCATTCATATTATATTAACTATAATATCTTAAACGTTGTGTGTTGGTACAATATTTAGAGTCCTAGTCATTGGTTTATAGGAAAGTAGTGAATAAGTTTCTATCCCAGTGGTTGGAATGGGCGATAGATGCTGATGTGTTGGGAAGTGCACTGGTGCTGTGTGTGGGAATAGCACTGCTCCTGATTCCAGGGGCACTTCAGACTCTCCTGCTCCTGAATTCACCCTTGGAGCTCTGTGCTGCACATAGATTGCAGAGCAGATATGGAGGAATTGATTCATTGCAGGACAGAATACCCAATGTAGCTCCTCACTGCTGCTTCTCCCAGTGCTGTTGTGAGTTCATAGGCTTTAAAGTCTGATTGAATTTGTTTGTGCTCATTTGAGGGTGATTGGCTTTAGAATTAAAGATCTGCATGGGGAAACACATTCCACACAAGTCTGCTCTGGAGCCTGTTGTGCAGCCTCAGCTGGAGAGTGAACACTTTGCTTGACTAATCACTGCAGTAGGAAGGGCCAAAAGGGCCTGAAAGTTACTTGGGCTAACTTTGAACGTTCTAACTGTTCATTTCAGGAAGTCAGCTCAAAACTTAGCATTTAATAATGCTCAGTGAATGTGGCATACAATGAAATTACTGAGTCCAAGACTTCAGAAATACAAGAATGAATTTGGTTTTGTTAGCTCCTGTAGTTATCTTCTCTTTCCTGAAATCAGCTGTAGTTGACTCCTGTGTAGGAATCCATCTGGATTAAGTGTAATTTATGATTGTGCTATGGGCTCTGGAACCCATCAACAGGTTAGGTGTGCAAAGTCAGTGTTGAAAACCATCTGGCCATCCCAGAAGGGTGGAGCACTGGGGATTCGTTCCAAAACGTCTTAGTTGCATTCAGATTGTTTCTCTACTTTCCAGGCACAAGGAATTGTGAAAATGAGTAAATATAGCTCTTCCCAGAAAGAATATGAAGTATGAACATTAAATCGTGTTTACATGTTATTTTGGTTTAGCTCTGTTACCAAGAGTTGTGTAGGTAGGCCTTGATCTGAATCTGTCTTGAGCTTTGTACAACAAAAACAAATAGTCAGGCTTAGTTAAATGATTTTTTTAGCCTGTCTGCCATGTAGGCTTATTAAATATGCAGTTTGGTATAGCTGGTTCTTGACTAGGACTAGTAACTCGTGTCCATGACTGTTATCAGCAGCAGTGTCTGAGTATGGGCTCTTGCATGGGAAAACCTGGGGGCGAATCCCAACAACCTGCTATATTTTCCATGTATCCGTTGGCTTAAATGTGAATTTTGGGTATGCTGTGTGTCCAAAACCAAGCCATGTTCTGTGGCTTTTGCAAACACTTGGTCTTAAATGACCTGTCCTATGCACAGTGCTTTGCAACTCTGATCTCACAGCTTGATTCTGAACTCTCCAGTTCTGATGTTTCTGTTTGCTTGCAAAGCTTTGAGACCTGGATCGTGCATGTTTCCCAGGTCATGCATGTATTTCTGTTTCCAGGGCCTGTGAACTAAAATCTGTAAGAGCTGGGGGCTTGTTTTCTCTCAGCAAAGTATCAGTGGTGGCAGGCTGGCACAGCTCCTCGGGTGTGGGTTTGTAGAGGACAGCAGAGTGCTTTTTCCCTTGCTGCTTTCACCTGCCCCTGTGTGACCAGGACCACTCCATGATGTGGTCACAGTGCACTCATGTATGGGGACAGACCTTTCTGTTTGCTGCATTTGCTTTTCCCAGTGTTGCTATTTTTGGACGAAAGCATAGGCAGAAGTCTCCTGTTTGGTCAGATGGCTGCCTTGGAATTCTGCACTCAGTACCAAACCCATCAGTCAATTTGTGGGCCACTACTGCTGCTCAGGTGGCAGTGGTGCTTTGGAAGGTATTTTTTCAGTGTCTCATGTCCCTCCCTGTCACAGAGGTGGTTTGTGGCCTGAATTGCTAGTTGAGTAGTTGCAAGGTGTTTGGATGTGATGCACACGCCAGCAGAGTGGAGTCTGCTTCTTGCCCAAGTGCAAAGAGAATTTTGCATCTTTGGAGCTCATGTTGGAGGTTGCTTTGTCGTATGTGGAATTGTAACATATTGGAAGTGCATTTCAGTTCCTGGTGCAGTTATCTGTCACCTCCTGTGCTTGAACTCTGGGGAGTACAGTGAGTACTTTCAGTGCTGGGCTTAGTTCTTAGGGCTTGGGTTGTGAGAGACTCGTGACAGTGTCTGACCTCGGGGCACTGAAGGGAGAGAGCTCTGGCCACATGGCAGTGTGTGTGTGCTGGAAGGCCTCTTGGTATGCAGTGCTGGAGTTCAGAGGGTGAAGGAGTGGGACTGCTCCTGTAGTGCAGTGCTGAATGGAGACATCCCAGAGGGGTTGCTGTGTTGATGGACTTGCACACACTGTCCTGGCTGAATTGACTTCCTGAAACCTTTTGCACGGGATCATTTAAACTCTTCAGTGCTGACTAGCTTCATCCTCTCTTGAAAAGAGGATGACTGCACTGAACAGAGTGGCACAGAGTCAAGTTGGAGGCTGTTACTGGTGGTGTCCCCCAGGGTTCTATACTGGGACTAGTATTGTTCAGCTTACACATCAGTGACTTGGACGAGGGGACAGAGTTGCCTTCTCAGCAAGTTCTTGATGATCTGGAACTGGGAGGGCTGGCTGATATCTCAGAGGGCTGTGCTGCTCTTCAGAGAGACCTTGGCAGATTGGAGAGATGGGCAGAGCAGAACCACCCGAAATTCAGCAAGGGCAAGTGCAGGTCCTGCACCTGGGGAGGAATAACCCTGAGCACTGGTTGGGCACTGACCTGCTGGAGAGCAGCTCTGCAGAGAAGGACTTGGGGGTCCTGGTGGGCAACAGGCTGTCCATGAGCCAACAGTGTGCCCTTGGGGCCAAGAAGGCCAGTGGAATCCTGGGATGCATTGGGAAGAGCACTGCCAGCAGGTCAAGCAGATGGTTCTGTCCCTATGCTCAGCCTTGGTGAGGCCACACCTGGAGTGTTGTGTCCAGTTCTGGGGCGTCTCGGTACCAGAGGGACATGGAGCTCCTGGAGCAGGTCCAGTGAAGATGCTGAAGGGACTGGAGCACCTCACTCAGGTGGAAAGGCTGAGGGAGTTGGGGCTGTTCAGCCTCCAGAAGAGACAGCTGGGAGGGACCTCATTAACGTGTGTGCTGCACTCTGACAACTGTAGTCTCAAGTTGCGAGGCTTTGCTAGCTATGCTCTGCTGAGAGTTATACTCTTGGAGTTTTTGATTGTCAGTTGGGTTCTTACAAAACTGATGCCAGAGTTTGGGAATCTGAGGTTTTTCCTTACTGTTCAGCCAGTTCATAAGGCCTTGAAAAGTATGAGCTCATCATTCCTTTCAAATTGAGCTGGAAAACTGCTTGTTTTACCCTCCCAGTATATTTCTAGGAGTTGTTTCTGATTTCAGCTTGTTTTTCACAGTGTTTCAGATATTCAAATCAGTACCAGTTGGGGATTTCTTAGTGGGATCAGTTGGCTGTCTTGAATACCCATGGAGTCAGCTGAATGCTTCCTTTGTAGTTTAGGGGAGGATGTGTTGGGCCACCCTGGGCACATTGTGTTTGTACTCTCTCTTAGCCTTAGCCAGGCTTCAGCTGTTGGCCTCTCACTTTGAGTATCCTCCCATAGTATGTTTCTTTGAGAAACAAATCTGAATTTCTTCTAAATAACCTCTACCCCTTGGCATGTTCACAGGCTTCTGGAGCACATGCTCTGACTCCCCTTCTGTACAGATCTGTGAGCACTTGTGCCTCCTGATACGCTGTGCTTTGTTCAGTGCTGTGAGAGGAGGGAAGGTTGCCCTGTCATTGTGTGGTGCTGTTGAAATTTTCACCTGGCATTGCCCTTGTGAAGGGGAATACATCAGTACTTGGGGTGGTGTCTTCAGATGGGGTAGTGAAATGTGCTGTGGTTCTGAAACTTCCTGAAATTACAAATTACCAATGCAATTAAAGAAATATAGAGTGTATAAGGTCTTCCTGATCAGAAACATTTGAATTTGATCTGTCTCAGATTCCTCTAATTCTAATATACTGAGACATTTATATTTGAAAAATTTCATCTGCAGTGTCCTGGGATGAACTTTAAGAATCTGAAACTTAGATTAGGTGTAGTGTGGCTGCTGGGCTTTGGCTGTTACTCTGGGAAGGTGATTGCCTGTTGATGGAGGTCTCTGAGGAGTGAGTGTATTGTCCTCCAGGTGTTATTCTTGATAAGAGGAAGCTGAAACTATCAGT